TTGGTTTTGCTATTGTGTGCAGCAGCTGCTAGAGTGTGGGAGCAAATAGATATTCCACTATAATTTGCACACAACTTCTCACAGCGAAATTCTCCTTCATCTTTTCCTCAAATAACTAAATGGGGTCATTTGACATTCCTGGAACAGTAGATGTGATTTGTTTTTGGGGGGGGCATGAACCAGCACACTTTTATTATATTTTAGTATTACAAAAACAATGATGTCACATCCGGTTTACGCAAGAAATCAAGCTCTACGGATGCGAGTACCATATATCGTCCAAATTGTTCAAAAAACAAGATCAGTGTCAAAAACGGAAGTGTGCTAGTTCACGTTTGCATGTCATGTGACCTGTACTAAAGACATTAACTTAATTAAATCAAGTTAATGTCAAACAGGTCCCATGTCAGCATGTGAGGGGGCGGAGTGAAGGAGATGTTACTTGAAGCCTTGGTTGCGCCGACTGGATTAATTTGAACTTGGCGCTAGTACTTATGCATGTGGTTATGGTGGTGTCATGTTTGCCAAATGATGTCATAGCAGGGTCAAAGGTGGGGGGGGGGGAATCAGATCACGGTTGTGGTTGACGATGGTGAAGTAAAATTAAAATGTGAAAAGTAAAAGCTGAATTGCAAGTTGAGTGGTTGTTTGATGCTTTCTTGCAAAAAAAGAATATGAAATTTTTGGAGTTGCTTGAACTATTTGTCATATGAAAATAAAAAAAATAAAGAGGATGAGACAACAGAGAATGTGAAGAAGTGTGTTGATGTGTGCCGATGGCATTTCAGTGTATGTGAAGATGAATGAAGTGTGTTTGAATGCAAAAATTGATAAAGTATTTTTCACCTTCTTAGTTTTCGACAATGATAATTTCATTGAAGAGTGATAGATTTGTCTTGTGTTTTTGTAGGAAGATTTGTTTTATTTCTTCTATATATTCCTTTTTTGCTCATTGTATTTGTGAAAAGAAGTATCAACATTCCTCTTTGGAAAATGAATTCACATGATCACTCATTGTAATAGTAAAGATTTATTAAAAGAGTGTTGATATGAGGTTATATTTATGTGTACAACAAATAAAAAAATGATATTATTTTTTTACAACTTTTCTCTTAATTAAGTTGGGGTTTTTTAGTTCATTTTGGTGTCTCACATAATTTATACCTTGATTGACATTGTATATTGCTCTAAGTATCTTTTTTTTTCATTGAGGTGATCCTGACGGTCGCAGGAGAGATTAGCAATTGCTGCAAAAGAACATTTATTATTTTCTAATATTGGGTAATTATTTCTATTTTGCAAATAGACTTTTGCTCTTTTTTTATTATTTTTATTTATTATTTCTTTGTTTAGCTTGTCAGATTCCATTTTATCTTTTATCTTCTTTGTGTTCATCATTGGAACCACTTCTACAAATAGACTTTCCATATTGTTCTCACTGTTATTTTCACCTGAATTGAATGCTTTTCAATGGATTGTTTCATCGCCACAATGTTTTTCTTACTTCCCTTGCCACAGAATGCTTGTGAGAGGATATCAGATTGAAATTGAGTCAATTGTGCCATAGTTGAACCGTTTATGTTGGATCCATCTCGATCGCTTGATTTGGGATTGCATTTCAAGCTGGTGAATTTCAGGTAAGTAACCGGGGTATTGTTCACATGATAAAAGTGTGGTTTGAAAGGAGAGGGGGACAAGGAAGGAAGCGAAATTGGTAGGTTTAGAAAGGATAAATCTGTGAATTGTTGCTGATGTTGAATTTTGTGTGTTTGTTCTTGCGGAGGTCGAGTTAATGGTAAGCGAGAATTACTTGCAATTTTTCCATTTTCCTTTGGTACATACCATAAATTCTTTCCACAATTCCAAGCGGTTAATGCTCCGAATTGTTGGTTGTGCAGTAGAATATCTCGTGTTGCGAGCAAAGAGAAACTTTGGAAAGTCCCGGTAATTGATCGGTAATTTTCGTGATGGTTCCGGCGGAGAAGGCCTAGTACATTTCGTAAACTCGGTTTCACTCTCGCGCACGCTTTTCCTTTAAGGTGACTAAATATGGCGGAAACGAGTGGATTAGCATGCCCACACATCCAGTGCAAAAATGCGAAACAGATTTATAAACATCTTAAACGGCACTTTGTTTCCGAACATGGTGAGAAGGAAGACCTTGATTTGGATGCTGCTAAAAGTTGGACTTTACATGTGCAAGAAGAAATTATGATTGAAAAGATCCATCTTGCCTGTAAACAAATAGTAAGTAAAGACATTTTAATGATTTTATTAAATATATCACAGCTTAGTAAGATCATAGACAAGGAATCAAAGGAATTTCTTTTGATTGTCTATGGTAAGATTTACTATATTCGTCTGATTTCCAAGTTTTTTTTAATGACCAACATTTTATTTCATTAAAAATAATTGGTTGTTTCAAAATTAGCAGGTGCATCATTTTTATGCTAACCACATTGTCTGTTATTTCCATTTCTGTTGTTTTGAGGCAATTGGGAGAAACTTTTGAAGTAAAATTTGGATCAACATCTCTGTAAATAAAAGATGTGGATCATTACCATGCTGCAATTAAAGCATCTCATATGCTACTTGTTAGTGGAAAATTAAACAAATATTCTGTTGGTCATGTTGAAATAACTGTAAGTGGTGTGATTCTAACCAAACTATACAAAGCTTGGAAGTCAGTTAGCACTGAAGGAACTGAAGTTCCTGAAATTCAATGTGAAAGAACATATGTTAATGAGAAGTGGTTTGATACACATGGCAACAAAACTACTGGTAATGAAATTTGTACATATGTTGATACAATTAATAAGTGTACAGAAATGCTGGAATGTATGAGTACAACATCTGATAAATTTTCACAAATCTCAGTTCCTATTGATGTGAAGTGTGCTGCAGATCTCTTAGAAGTTATGTCAACAATATGGGGATTTTCATAATTCAAAGGACAGCAAGCTGCTGCTATAGATGCAGTTCTTCAAGGAAAAGATTGTTTTATCAATATGCCCACAGGTGGTGGAAAGTCACTGTTAGATCAGTTGCCAGCAGTCTCACAGTCTGGAGTGACTATTGTTGTGGAGCCAATCAATGCATTAATTATTGACCAAATTAATCAGTGTAAAGTGAGAAATATTCCAGCTGCTGCATTATTTGGTGAAGTAAAGGATACAATCAGACAGCATATACTGTGTGATCTAAATATTGAGGTTGTCCCATTTAAACTAATTTATACCACACCAGAGTATCTTGTTGCTGACAAGGCATTTCACAGTGTTTTAAAAGAGCTGTATTTGAAAGGAAACATACAACGATTTATCAGCCAGAACTGAACATGATGCATCAAAATAGCTGCTAAAGTAGATTTTCACATAAAATATATAAATTAGTAATCACAGTAAGTGGTAATGTAATTACATAGTGAAGGATACAACCTCTTTCTTAAATCAATGCCATCTTTCTGTGAGCCAATTCGTTTCTCAATAACTGTAACTTTTCCAGGAAAAACTTCTTGTATGCATTTCCACAATGTAGGTAGAGTTATGTGCACATCTGGGCAAGAGCCCCTCACATTACTCATAGCATCACAAACACTGATTTCCTTTCCAACATCATACTTAAACAACTTTGGCAATATTTGACGAACATATTCTTAAAAAGAAAATCACAGTTACATTATGAAAATAGATTAAACAAAGGATAAGAAATATTCAATGAGCCTTAATTTTCCATAAGATGTTAGGCTCAATGCAGAGGTTAATACAATACATATTTATTATCCTATCAAGGGGCAATGCACCTTGATGCACAGTACTTTGGCTTTTATACTTTGGCTTTTTCACCCTGTCTAATGCCAGATGATCTTACTCTAATGCCAGACAGTTTTATTAGGGATGGGCGATACCAGCTTTTTCATTCGATACGATATTTTCTCGATATTTGCCTTTTTTTTTCGATATCAATACCGATATCGATATTTTCCAAACTCATGTAACCACAACAACAAAAGACCATTTTTCATGATTAACAATGGAAACAACACTAAACAATATGACTATACCTTAATAGTGCGTTTAATTGTGCCAATTAACATAAATAACTTTAATCATATCTTTAAACATATTCCATAATCTGTTTTCACTTTCAACTAGGCAACTAGCAAGTTTTATTTGGATATAGTAAAATTTTAAAGTTCATATGTTCTTATTTAGAAATAGTAACATATCAACGTTTTTAGACTTAAGCCTATTTCGTCGGATTGAAACAAGTTCTCCTGCTTTCAAGAAGAGTCTTTCCGCTGGGACACACGTAGCAGGAATACAAAGGTACTTCTTTGCAAGATTGGAAAGAATCTTGTAATCTTTCTCATTTTCTTTCCACCATGTCAGTGGATCTTCATCTCTTGGTAGGAGTTTATTTTCAAAATATCTTCTAGGGCCCGTTCACACTTAGCTCGGTTGTAAATCGATTTAGTTAATTCGAGTTCGATTCGATTTCGAATCGATTTAATGGGAGTGTTCACACTTGGCGAGTCGCATCTGGGCTACATTTTGTCTGTGTCAAGGAACATAATGTATAGAAAAGGATATATAGGGGTAGTAGTCAACTGATAGGGCATTCCAGGGATTGTGTTTTCATAAACAAACATGGCGGACAATTCCACGTTGACAGCATTGGCTGCTGTTGTGACAACTAACCATCAAAAAATTGTTAAAAAATGACAAAGGCAGCGGAAGAAAATGCAACAAACAATTATACAATATTTTCAAAATAAGAGAAGATGTATAATTGCTATGCTAAGTGTAGTCAACACAGCAGTTGAAAGAGAATTTTGGATCGAACCAACCAGAGGGCACGGATATTTTTGGGAACACACAATTTCTTCGTGGACAGAAGACAGGCTTTGGGTTGAGAATCTACGCATGAAAAAGAGTACTTTTTATTTTATTTGCGAGCAGCTTTCCCCTGTGTTAAATAAGCAGGATACTCGATTTAGAATGTCAATCCCTATCGAGAAACATGTGGCTATTTGCTTGTGGCATCTGGCAACCGGAGAAGATCTTCGCTCCCTCGGGTGGAGATTTGATGTGGCAAAGAGCAAAGCATGCGAAATCATCAACGAAGTTTGCCAAGCAATCGTAAGCATTCTGCTGCCGCAATTCGTCACATGGCCAACGGGAGATAATCTACGAGCTGTTGTTGATGGATTTGCTTCAGAGTGGAATTTTCCTCAATGTGCTGGAGCAATTGATGGAACCCATATTCCTATAACTGCACCTCCGGAGAACCCGGCATACTATTACAACAGAAAGGGGTTTTACTCAATTGTTTTGCAAGCTGTGGTTGACCATTTATACAGGTATGCATACTGTATATAATTACACCCAAAATTAATTGAAAATTAATTGAAATGAAAAATTAATGTTTTGAGCAATTTCAAGCAAGGAGATGTTGCTTGTTTTAGGTTTACGGATGTATATATCAAATGGCCAGGAAAAGTGCATGATGCTCGAGTGTTGAGTAACTCTAGTCTCTACCACAAAGGTCAGAATGGTGAACTTTTCCCAGATGTAAGTATGACTTTGCAAAGCTAACAATTGTGTTGAGAGATATTTAGCTAGGTTTTTCCAAATCATCACAACTCTAGCAAAGATGATTATAATTCTAAGTGTGCACAACTCACAATTTGTGACTTGAATACAGCTCTTCCCTCTCCCCCTCCTCCCCAAACAATTTACAAAATTTCTGTTACAGGACAAATAGTTTCCCTTGCATTATAGCTGAGTGTTTATTATGTAACCAACCATATTTCTCATACACTTGACATGTTCTTATTTTTAATAGTGGACAGAAAATATTAATGGCTGTGATATACCACTGTTTCTAATTGGTGATCCAGCGTATCCACTGTTATTTTGGTTGCTTAAAAGATATACAAATGCTGAAGTTGTAAACAGGGAACAATCAGCATTTAATTACCGGCTAAGCAGGGCAAGGAATGTTGTAGAAGGAGCATTTGGCAGACTAAAAGGCAGATTCCGTTGCCTGTTAACAAGAAATAATACAACCTTGAAGTATCTACCACCAAAATTGCCTCATGTTGTGTCCTTCACAATCTCTGTGAGAAGAGGGGAGATGGATTTCAAGAAGAATGGCTCCACACAATTGAGTCAGCCCCTGATGACAGCTTTCACTTTGGATCCCAAGTAGACACCAATGCCCATGAAATAAGAGAAGCCTTGACTGAGCATTTCAAAACACATTAACGTTAACTGTGACATTTTATTCTTGTTATTGAATACAAACAGCAAAAGTACAGTATATTTAGAAATACTACTTTGTAGATAACAGTTTTAACATAAAGTACAAGTGTTTTTTCACACAACTCAATATGAACAGTTCAAATAGTTCAAAATGTAAAGTAAGTGTTCCCACCATCAACGATCCTGGATTGATAATTATTATTGTAACCCCTTTCTTGTGCTTCCACTGAGTTAGCATGGTTTCCAGCAATTGCCCCTGCAAGTAACGCCATTGAATCCGTAAAGGCTTTTAATTCCTGGCTTCTCAAATCAGCTTCTACTGTTGCCTGCTCCGTCATATGATGAAGGAAGGCTTTATCTAATTCTTTCTGGTACTCCGTAAATTTTCCGATTGCTCTCTCAACAGCTGTCTCTTTTTTATTTTTTTTGACCCCTTTAAGCTCTGATTTTTCAGATTTCCGTTTGTTTTGCACCTCTACCTCACCAGATCCTGAAAGCAGATATTGTTCTTATTAGTTACCACACATGATAAGATGTTAAGAAGTATTATTTCCATATCTGGGGTAAAATCATTAAAAAAATGTCTTTCATTGGCTGAAACTTAAAAACCGTGAATGAATAATTATGTGTACAATTTTTACCCTTGTCAGTGTAAGAACATTTAGGGCAGTTAAACTCGTCGTCCTCACAGTAAACCTTCACACATCCATTGTCAGTAGTGTGGACTCCGCTTGACTGCAACTCTACAATGTAACCACAATCTGGACAAGGCCTTTCAATCACAGACCCGTCACCATATTTTTGGACAAGATCAAATTCTATAAAACATTCAGTTACATGTTATCAAATAAAAGTAAACTAAGGCTCAATTTTTAATCATTGAAAAATATTCATCATCTGTATTTCATGTATCACGTACACAGTAAATAAAACAATTAGGAGTTTACCTGTATCAACGGAAACATCACTTTCATTGTCTGCTTTGTTTACACTAGTGTGAGACGTATCAATGGCGTTCGCAAGACCAGTAGCATCTGGCTTGTCATTGAGAAAATTGTCCAAGTCGTCAAAAAACTTTGGTGGTTTTTTTCTTCCAGCACCAGACTTTGTCTGAGAATCTTTGTGCTTTTTATACACGTTTTTCAGTTGTTTCACCTTATTTCTGCATTGGACATGATCTCTCTCAAAACCGCTTACTGTTTTTAAATCTTTACTAATTTTTTTATAAATTTGCGAATTTTTGTGTGTGTTGCTTAACTTTCTTTGAATTTCTTCGTTTCCCCATATGGCTATTAATGCTGACGTTTCTTTTTCCGACCATGTTTCTCCCCGTTTTGCCTTGTTTTCAAAGCAGAAGAATTATTTTTGCACTGCGGGTCTTGCGAGAAACCAAAACAAAAATAAAGTTTTCGCGCGCTTTTTCCCGAGCGATCTCTCCAGGTAATATATTGAGCTCAGTGGTCCTGACTGATTCGTTTCACTTGATTAGTGCGTTCACACTGGGAAACGGACCAAATTAATTCGAATTCGTTTTCGCTTCGCTTGTGCCTGTTCACACTTGGTTCATTCGGACTCGTATCGATTTCGAATCGATTTAAAAACGCTAGTGTGAACGGGCCCCTAGACTCCTTCTCTACAGCGATGGTTGAACTTGCTTCCACTTCTTTATCTGCAACTTTTTTGTCGAAAAGATCCCATAATCCGATATCTCGTTTTACCGAATTTGGTGCTCTCACTTCTGTCTGTGCATCACTGGGAACTGCAGGAATATGTTGTTTCATCTCTTGGACGACCCATTGCTCCGCCTGCTGCGCAGTTACCAAACTAGAAAAGGCCAACTTCTTCATGCGTGGGTCTAGCAAAGTAGAAAAGGCTAGCAAATTGACACTTTCCACGCCTGTAAAATGTCAACGCAGTTGAACACTCATTTCAGAAGCAAGAGTTGTATTTTTGTAGATACTTGACGAGGTCAAATGCTGGAGGGATTTTGCAAGGGGTATAACCTTTGAGATTGAGATATATTGATCGGCCGATATCTCAGTTGTGGCACGCTCAAACGGATTCAAAACAGCCACTGCAGCTTTGAGCACTTCCACATCTGAATTAGTGAGGCATTGATCATTGCGATTCGAAAGACGAAGTGTGGTCGTAATGGCTTTGTGCTGCTCGATGATGCGTTCAAACATGTAGAATGTAGAGTTCCATCTTGTATCTACTTCCTGGACGAGCTTGTGATCAGGAACTTGTGCTTGAACTTGAATCTCCTTCAACTTATCCGTAGCTTTTGTGCTCTGATGAAAGAATGTCACAATTTGTCTGCATTTCTTTCTTATATCATTGATCAGATCAGTCTTAATTGCTTCCGACACTATGAGGTTCAGGGTGTGTGCAAAGCATCTGACATGATTCCAACCAGTTATTCTAACTGCAGCAACTACATTGCTAGCGTTATCGGTTACAATTGCAACAATCTTCTCTGATATCTCCTATGACTCCGCAACCCTTAGAAACGATGCAGCGATGTTCTCAGCAGTGTGGCTTGATTTGAATGCAAAGGTCTCAAGAACCAGCGATTTAAGCACCCACGAAGGGCGACGGGCGACGGAGAGCTATCTCAAGTAACGGTGAGATAGCTCTCCGTCGCCCTTGATGTCCACAAATCACTTGTGAGGGCAACATATGATGTCTGCTCAAGCTCCTGCTTAATTTCTTTGACTCGTTTCGAGTACATATCAGGTAGCATTCGTGTCATGGTTTTTCTAGATGGAAGATGGTATCGGGGATCCATTAAATATAGCAATGATTGAAACCCTGCATCCTCCACAACAGATAGAGGTTGAAGGTCTGTTGTGATCATTTTTAGCACTGCTTCGTCAATCTTTCTTCTTCGTGTCGACGTGGAGGAGTACTTTCCATGTAACATAGTATCATCGATTGTTGTTTGTTTTTTTGTTGTTTGTTTTTTTGTTTTACTACGTTTCTTTTTATTGTTTTCTTCATCTAATTTCCTTTTTCTTTCAGCTTCTTTGTATTGCTCTTGATGCTTCAGCCTTAAATGCTAAAAAATTTCAAACCATTATTAATATTACCGGAATTAACATTTTTTATTAGTTCAGGAATTAAGTGTAATAGCATATAGCTACGAATCTCAACAATCGGCCAAGTTACCTTGAATAGATTAGAAGTGTTGCTGCCATGTTTAACGTTCTCGGAACAGATACTGCATTTCGATGTTCCCGTTGTTTTTGTGGTATCTGTTAGCTTTTGAAAAAAATCCCAAACAGCACTTCTCTGACGCTTGTTATTAACAGCAGCATAATTGGCACCATCGTCATCCCCGCCACCTTCTTCTAAGATTTCCAACGCTTCTACAGTTTTATCAAATTTGAAGGTTTTTATAATAATAAAACAAGAACGTTCAAATGAAGTTTTTTATAATATCGAGGGGCAAATCACTGATTATAATCACATACAAAAAAAGTCATTCAAAATCATAGAAAACTAAAAAATCAAAGAAAAATAGGTCCGCGATGCGGACGTGCGCCCGCTGATTTAATGTACAGTATAACATTGTTCACTTTTGCTACGCAACATCCGTGAGTCAAAAAACGGGTTCACATTTAATGAAACTGGTATCGATAGAAAGCTTAAACTAGGTTACCTGCAAGGTAGGGATTGCTGCGGGCATTAAAAACAAATTGAACCAAATATCATATAAGAACAGGATTGGCAAAACTGTACAATTGTTAAAAAAATATTACAAAAGCGTTGAAATTTGTGAAATATGTGTCACACGATCACGTTGCAACTAATTTAACAAAGGACGTGTTAAGGTGAAATTTTTCTTGCAACTTGGAATTCTGCTTGTAATCAGTAAAGTCAATGAAGATATGCCATATGGATTGGAAAAATATCAACCCAAAACACGTACTTTGGCATTTTACATTTCTCAAGAGTAGAGTTGTATTGCAAGTTGCAAAAAAATTGCATCGTGTAACAGGGCCTGAACTAAACTCTAAAGTTAACAAAATGAGAATGTAAGTGACTCCTTCTGCAGGGCAATCCACCTTTGATGTATTCGGCGACCCTTCGGCATCGTCGTCTTGCCTTAAATAGTTCAAAGAATTGCTATACTTGTTTGCTGTATTTTCGTATATGGCAGATTGCCCAGACCCACTATGACGATGAAACACGAGGCTCAATGACAATGACAAAGATGTAAAAATAAACTTGGATTATCAAACTAAACTGTGATCTAACAATAAGATAAAATAGGAAATACTATCAAGCGCAGAGGTGCAAATGAAATCGAAGATATAATCAGTTCCTTCAAAGAATTGCTACTCATTTACTGTATTTACATGCGGCAAGCAACAACGAAACACGAGCCGCAATGACAAATATGTAAAACATAACACTTGGATTTTTAATTTTAAACACTAAATTGCAGCTTTTACTGAGCTTTTTACCCCTAGTAAACGTCACACTGAATTAAGCGCAGTTTCGAAACGTGGGCCTGTATACTATCCACGTGAAACACCACATGATAGATAGCTAGTAAAATTACTAGCTACTTAGTTATAATCCAGTAGAATGCCTGCACGTGATCATTCACATGCGGGTTTATATAATCATACATAAATGCATCGTTTGACCAATGACCTTTTGTAGTTGTCACACCCTTTACAAGGATGAATGCAAACCAAGATGGCTTTTTCTGCCCCAAAAGTTGATCTGAAGTCAATCGATGGATACGTACATGACGTTTCAGATGTTTTCGTAGCAAAACAGGGCTCTCGATACTTCGACTTCAAAATACAAGAGTCCCCAGATGTATATACAAGAGTTGCATGTTTTAGCCCGGACAAAAGAAACACGATGAAGAAAAAAGAAGAATCGAAGACAGCAATTCGAATTCAAAATGTGAGCCCAAGAAAGAGGAAGCAGTTCGAGCCCCGAGAGTACACGATGAACAAATCGTCAAAAATCATATATGCGGAGAA